TCCTGCTGAGGGAAGCCAAGTGTGGAATGATACATGGAACTACTACAGAGAATCCCTGTGAGAAGCCACATCACTACAACTTATTTCTCTGCAACTCTCTCAGCTAGTGGGGTTGGTTTTTCTGTGGAGGAAGATAGGGAAAGGTTCTTGATTATTTCAGACTGAGGATCATCTCTTTTTTGGAGGTCAGAAGATACACAGAGAAAGCAAAATGTATCCTCTTGCCATGGTGTGCATCCATGTTCTCCAGGAAGGTTTTGCATTACCTGAGCTTAGAACTGGAAAATCACTTCTGTTGAGGAGCATGAGCAACAGAAAATTGGACACAAATGAAACATCCTCAAAATCCAGACAGGGATGAACCAGACCATTTAGTACAGCTGCTATTTATAGAAAATACCAAAACATTTTAAGAAGTTTTGAAGGGTAGAGAAAGAACTACTTCATGTCAAGTGGTAGCTGAGGTGCTTAGACCTTAGCATTCCACATCAGAAACCAGCAGCACTGTTCCACAGCAGCTGCAACAAACTGAATTCAGAGCAACTTTTGTGATGAAAGAAATCTATTAACTCTAATTTTTCAGGTAGGGACAGATCAAATACCCTCCAGTTTCACAAACCTCCCTCCCCTCCTTCTTCTCTGAAGAACCAGAACATTTGCTGTCCATTTTTCACTCTCAGATTTCTCAACCACTTGTTGAGTGATTGAGAAATTGTCACAGCAAGCAGAAAGGCAGTCCTTTGTTAAATCCACCTGGAACCCCATTCCACCAGAAAACAGGACACTTACTGCAGTGTTGGCAAAAGTCCCCACACCTCTGGGCCAGGGGGATGTCAGCAAGATATCCACGCCTCTGAAATTGGGGGTTGACAACAAGGATGTTTTCAGTTCTGCCACGTCCTTTGAGCTGAAGCTGTAGGCAGGAGCTGGCTCCCCCTGGGCCTCGGTGCCACTCAGGTACGCGATCTGCAGCCCAGAGGTGCCACTGTAGAGCCCTCGCCGGCCTGCGGTGACACACCCATACACACTTGAGATACTGGAAGGTGATTTCTTGCTAGGGTTTGGAAGGGACCTCTGCAGATCATCTAGTCCAACCCTCTGCTAGAGCAGGATCACCTACAGCAGATCCCACAGGAACATGTCCAGATAGGTTTGGAATGTCTCCAGAGAAGGAGCCTCCACAACCTCTCTGGGCAGCCTGTCCCAGACAGCTCTGTCCCCAGCTCTGTCACCCTCACAGGAATGTTTTTTCTCATGTTGAGGTGGAATTTCCTGTCTTCCATCCTGTTTGTGTCCACTGCCCCTCATCCTATCACAGGGCACCACTGAGAAGAGACTGAGCCCCTCTTCTTGACACCCAGCCTTCAGATATTAATAAGATCCCCTCTCAGTCTTCTCCAGACTGAACAGCGTTTTCTCATAAGACAGAAGTTCAAGTCCCTTAATCATCCTTTTGTCCTCTGTTGGACTTTATCTAGTATATCCCTGTCCCTATTGAACTGTTTTTTCCTTTTAGCTTTGGTACAGCTTTGTTACTTTTAAAGATTACATTTCTTGTCTCTGCTCCAGGACAGCTTCAGAGCACAGCGAAATCATACTTCAAGTAGGAAACCTTTCCCACCCAATGACAGGCCCACTCTGAGAATAAGATACTCTCAAAGAACAGGCTCTTTCTACCACTATTCCTTTAGGTAAGCAAGCTCAGTGTTAGAAAACACAAAGAAATCAGGGTTTTCTTTCACATTTTACATAGAAGATTGTTTCACCCCTTCCACACAGAGTCAGAATAAGAAGTGTCACTATAACATTTTCAGAATAAAAGGAAGAACTTTGAACTGAGAAGATCAGAAAAGGTTCACAAAACCACCATGGGAAAATGCACATCCTTATCACCCATCAACTGCAGCCTTACCTAAATAGGTGATGTTCTCAGCTAATTCACAGCCACTGACATCTGGGAAACAGCTGACAGTCTCCTGGTCGTTAGCACCAAGCACATAGGTTGGAATTGGAGCTGAGGAGGAAAACCACATGCACTCCATCTGCTTCAGTTTAAGTACATCAGCACATGGGGTAAGGGATCAACACTTGAAGAGGGAAGATTTAGGTTAGACATTAGGAGGAAATTCTTCACGGTGAGGGTGGTGAGACACTGGAAGCTGTAGCTGCCCCATCCTTTTGGGTGTTCAAGGTCAGGTTTGACGTGGCTTGGAGCAACCTGGTCTAGTGGGAGGTGTCCCTGCCCATGTAGGGGATTGGAACTGGATGGTCTTTAAGGTCCTTTGCTACCCAAACTAGTCTGGGATTCTATGAAGTCCAGTCCACACTTCTGGGAAGCAGAGCAGGTCCCATCCATTCCCACAGCCCCCCCCACCACCACTCCTTGGCAGCATGCTGAGAAGCAGGAAGCACAGAACAAGAAACCTGCTCTCAGTGACTCCCCACATCTGCTGTGTCCACAGATCCCACAGCACCAGCAGAGAACAACCTCTGCTTCACCTACAGCTTGCTCCACTGCTTGCTCAAGAAAATCAGCTCCAAAACAATCCATGTTTCACTGAACAAAACCCAGCAATAGTTTCCTAGTGAAGAAGGGAAAGCAGCAGCTCTGCTACAGCTGCTGGGGAACTGGTGCTTTACATTCCAGCTCCCACAGTCAGAAGGTACAGGTGATTGCTGTCAAGCATAGGGTTGAGCTTGAAAACATTATGAATGGCCTAAAACCAAAATGAAGGGACAGGAATCTTGTATCTGTCTGTATAGGTAAGGTTATAAGCTACAGATTTATTTTCAACAGTTCAAAGACTAAAGACAGCTCAAGTGAGCATGAGCAGTGAAGCCTTCGGAAGTCCATGGAAGCCTTTTCTGTTCACACCCACTCTCCTCCCTGCACATACAGGACATCCAGGTTTAAACCATTAACAACTCTCCTGACGTTCTCAAAGCAACAGGAACACAAGGCAGCACACGCCTTGCCACAGTAAGTCCTCAGCCACAAGCAGCAAATGGGACAATCTTTGCCCAGATGGCTTACATAGATGCAGAACAAGCAGGGGAGAGCTGGGAGGTGATGCAGCTGCACAGAGGAACCAGAAAGCAGGAGGCCCAGTGCCTTTTTGGCTCACCTCATGCCAGAGGCAAGAGCCACAGTAGCACGAAGGAGGAAATAGAGACAGCACAAATGCTCATGAAGTAGCATCTGTTTTACAAGATGGGTGTGGAAAGAGGCAGAAAAGTCCACATAGGACTCTGTATCCATGGCTAGGAAAACATCTTCAGCACAAGGGCTGCAGGAGGGCAAACTCCTCTCCTCTGGAAAGCCTTGTGATCTCCCTGCCGGAAGAACACAGATGTTTAGCCCACCAGCACCTCTTTTCCCTCCGTTCTCCTTGGGCCTGAATGCAGGGAGGGGAATAGCAGCACAGCTACACACTGCAGGGAGGTGTGGGGTGGAAGCATGAACATGGGTCTGAACAGGGGACAATGGGGAATTTCTGCAAGAGAATCACAGGGTGATCAGGGTTAGAAGGGACCTCTGCAGATCATCTAGTCCAATCCCCTGCTAGAGCACGGTCACCTACAGTAGATCCCACAGAAATACATCCAGATGGGTCAGGAATGTCTCCAGAAAAGGAGACTCCACAGCCTCTCTGGACAGCCTGTCCCAGGGCTCTCTTACTCTTCTTCTTTACACAGTAAGTAAGTTTTCCCTTATATTTAGCTTGAACCTTCCATGCTTCAAGCTTATGCCCATTGCCCCTTGTCCTGCGCCACTGGACACCACTGAGAAGAGTCTGGACCCATCCTCCTGACACCCATTAACCTCAAGGTTAACTTACTGTCTAGAGGACTCCAACATCCTTCTCCACAGGGCTGCTTTCCAGGTCATCCCCTAATCTATACTGATGTGTGGCGTTGTTTCTCCCAAACTGCAGGACTGTATACTTGCCCTTGTTGAACACCATTAAGTTCCTCTCTGCCCAGCTCTCCAGCTGGGCACAGCCCTCTGGAGTGTCACCAGCCCTCCCAGTTTGGTATCATTAGCAAACTTGAGTGAAGAACCAGGAGCGTGCTGGGATCCCATGGCCTGCTGACCCAAGCACCATAAACATGCAGCTTCCCAGGAGACCCAGGTTGGGAAACAAGGACTGCCCCACACAGCAGCCTGCAGGCTGAAACTGTGAGGAGGTGATGGCAGGAACAGAAGTGTGACCATAAGACATCCAGACAAGGAGAGAGAAGACTCTGACACCAATTAGCAGCATCCTGTGTCTGTCCTCTGACTAGAGATGACCCAGGAATAGGTCACGAAGCCCAAATCGTGGGAAGGCCACTTAGACACAAGCATCATTGTGCTCCCAAGTGTGAGAGCAGTACAGAAATGAGTTTTGTTTGAAAACAAAGCCATCTGTGGAGTTTTCCTCCTGTAGGGCAACTGCTTTATCATTACACCATTGAACTGCTACTTCTGCACTCAGCTGCAGTGAAGCAGGTGGTTAAATGGTGACATCAGCCACAGCACCCCACGACACCTTCCTTACCTCTCTTGGCCCCGCTGCAATACTCTGCCCATTCTGTCACTGATGTAGGGCCAAAAAAATTCCCAACGCACAAAAGCATCTAAAAACATCAGACAAAGAGTTGCCATTTGGCCCGGGCCAGAACACATGCAGCTTTCCCCCCCGTGCTGCTCCCTCCCAACGCCGCAGAGGCATTTTAGTGGTGTGGGAGAGAGGATCGTCTAGCTTTACCTGTCGTTTCAAACTTCAGAATCATGGGTTTAGAGGAGACAAAGGGGCTGCTGTTCTCCCCAGCTCCTCCTGACACCCTGGTGCTGCCCAGAGAGGCCGGAGGGGGCGCGAAGCCCCTGCCCATACCGAGGATGAGGGGCAGGGTCCCGGGGGCCCCCAGCACATCCCTCCCACGCCAAACCCACCCACCGTCTCACCCGTGCCAGCCATCCCAGCGCTCCTGCCCACCCTACGGGAAC